CTGTTCTAGGGCTTGTTGAGCTGTGCCCTCAGCATTAACCCTTTTGGATCCTGTGTGTGTGAGAACTTGGTGTGTGTATGTGTGTATGTTTGAACCTATGTGAATTGTTGGCTTGGGCATTTGCTTTATAATATAAAGCGGGGCGAAAGCCTTTTTCGGTAAAACATGAAACCAGAGCCTCGTAAGGAGTATCCAACAGCATGGGGCTATGCTCCAGGCAGAATATAGTAAAGCAGAGTACTTGGTTGCACATGGGATGGGCTGTTAAAACATTATAATCCAGTGGAGGGGGCAATCGATGAGCTCAAGTGACAAGCTAGCATTTCTCCAAGTATCGATGGACTCAAGTAACCTTCTTTGACCAAAATACATTCTAGGAGTAGACGATATGGAGAATTGCAGTAGAAGCTGAACCAAAATACTTTCTTGATATTATGCTAGGGAATTAACTCGGAAACTGGGAGTAGCCTCACTGACCCTTTCTCAGAAGAAATATGCATACTTTTGACATGAGTTATATTAATCCAGGCGTAAGTTGAAGTTGCACGTCCATGCATGTACCGTAAAGCTTAATTACAACCTTCAAACATAATTACTCAGTGAGCTTGACAAGTACAGTACTTAGCAATTAAGCTTGAGTATTGGCACATATGTTTACTGTACCATCATGTATAATATTGATCGTGGTTTTGTCGCCTAGGAAGTGGATGCAGCAGAAGCATATATCTCCTCCAGCAGATGCTTCACCGTGGTGACATAGTCAGTCATTGCTTCCTTCTTGGATTTGTGTGGTTTGCGTCAAATTTTGCCGAAGTTTTTTGTACAACGTGTCAATCTTATGTTCACCCAAAAATCAACGAAAAATGTGGTTTCATGGATTTGAAAAACTAGAAGAAGTCAACAAATTTTTACTATTAACCTTCGACGGCCTTCCAAGCATCCTATTTATCCCTCTCGTTTGTGCTGAGAAATCCGGGCTGGTCTGAAAATCCTTAATTGGGGATAAGTTGTAATATGTACTCTGTTTCTTCGGAGCTTGAATGATTACACACAAACAAATCATAGAACATGTATCATAAGTCTCAAGTGCTAATGCTGTCATAAGACACCATGCTCACATTTAAACAGTATCGCCAATTAAGATTAACCCATTATTACCAGTCTTGACTGGATCCATAGTGTTGTTGGCAGTTGTTTCAGACAACATGTTGGCCTTGTCTGCGTACTCCTGAAACTCCTCCTGATGGAAGTCTCCCCTCCGATGGTGACGTCAAGGTGACCCTACTATTAACCACTGTTTTTGTGCTGTTCGTAGGATGTGGGTCAGACAACTAAGCCCTGATCTATTCTCGATCTGTACCCATGCCTCTACCTTAGTTAAGAATCCTCCAAGGCATAGCCATCTTGAGCTGCTGGCTTCGTTTGCTAGTGTTAGACGAGGGGAATTATTTGATTTGATCTGATGTTGCATCCAGTGACAAAACGAAACGTGTCCTATATATGGCTACCTTGTGGTCAGACTGGATGCTATTGCTACCTCGAGGAAATTAAGCTGCACCATAGGCGGGAAAGACGCTATCGATCTCGTTTATCTATTGGGTGAAGCGCTTTCAATATGGACAGTTATCGAGGAAAACAAGCACATTTTTGTATATTTGCTAGCGACTGTTGGCCCTGAACAATGAACCAAATTCAGCATCTTGAAGTTGACCATTTTGTATAGGTTGTACCATGCCTGCCAGCACCTGCTGTCATGATTAATTATTTCGCAAGGATCCCAAGTTATCTACTCCCTCTGTCCTAAAATTCTTGTCTTAGATTTGTCTAGATACAGATGTATCTAGTCAAGACAATAATTTTGGGACGCAGGTAATATTTAACAACAGTTTCAGTGGCAAGTGCTGACAGATGTCATGATACATATAAAAGGATGTTAACATTTAATATTAAAGATGTTTCCTGCTGCCTTCCTTTGCTACCTCCCTCCTGGTTTATTAGTCCCCCTTGTATTTAGGGTCGTATTTTGACCATGATTTAATCTAATAAAATATAAGTTATACGTAGCAAAAATAATACCATCAGAAGCTATGTTTAAATAGGAATTCAATGATATAGTTTGTCATGACTTTGATAGTTAATTCTATAGTCAAACTTTGACACGAAATGCAAAGGGGACCAATAAACCAGGACGGAGGTAGTAGTTGCTTATCATGAGCTGTTCTCCGAAGTCAAATATCAAGGATTGGTAAGGGCCATTTTTTTAGTAGAAGCAAGATCAATGATAACCACCGAGAGGTATACCTTGACCTATTCAAGATGTTTCTAACTGCCTTCCTTGAGTTGCTCACTTGTCTTGTTCGCCAAAATTTAGATTAAGAAATCTCAAGAGTTGGCGAGAGCAATTATTCGGTTGGTAAGAGAAGCAAGAGCGATGCTAACCAGCCAGAACGTGTGTACGCAAGTCTAAAGGCTAGCGTTCTTGTTGGCTTCAACAAGGCTAGCGTTCCCCCAAATCTGGCCAGATCTACATCGATTACAAGCCAGGTGTGTTGCGCTTAATTTGGTTCTGTCCCTAGTTCTCTTGTCAATATCCCTAGTTATACTACTCGAACTTTCACCCTAGGTAGATGCAAATTTTTTTTGGCATTACAGGCCAGTAGGTGGTTCTTCTTTGGTTTGGTAAAAAAAGAGGAACAACAAGGACATCTCAAGTTGAAGATTAAATCCAGCTATTTGTCATCAACAACAAGCTAGCACACTCTCGGTCATACCATGACTCAGCTACAGTTCAGGATCTCTACGATTAAGCTTTAATTTCAACAAGACAAGCCAAGTATTAGTTTTCCTACGAGGATCCATCACATTGTCTGATGGTATCAGATTCATAACTGCACAAGGATCGACTGGATTTAGGCTGGTTCATCGTCCTTTCCCTAGCTTTCGGGCTATCTTAGGTTGTTCTTAGAACCAGCTTCTTCTGTGTGAAACAAAAACAATTCCCGCGGCACTTTTGTAAGTTTGCAAGCCTAGTAAAATTTGTGATCAATGCTTTGCGATTTCTTCCAGAATGAGAGCCCTGGCGCAGTGGTAAAGTTGTTGACTTGTGAGGTCATGGGTTCATGTCCTGGAAGCAACCTCTTGCAGAAATGCAGGGAAAGACTGCATAGAAAAGATTCAAAGTGGACGGACCCTTCCCCGGACCCTGCGCAAGCGGGAGCTACATGCACCGGGCTTTGCAATTTCATCCAGCACCATATGCACCAAGGTCTGGCGAGCTAACAGGATTTTGTTCCAATGCCATCCATTCTTTACCTAGTAGGTTGGCATTGGGATCAACAACATATTAGGAATCAACCTGCAGGTTAGTTGTTGATAATGCTCATTACAGGCGATATGCTTACCAACTGACGGGCATATGCTCCTGCACTGAAGATACACTAACGTATAAATTTCTAGCATCCTAAAGTCAAACCGTCTTGTTGTATGAAGATCCCCTAAAGTGAACATGACCGATCCTTCTAGTGAAGGTCGTTTTCATTATGGCGTAATATATTGTTTTCTCCTAATGGCTCTTATGATATTATGGTTTTGCTTTCTTAATCATTTTCTTGATTTGATAGATCTTTCCCTCTGCAGCTTAATCAACAACTCGAGCTACTTGTTTCTCCATAAATCTGGAGATACTATTAGTTAGATGTTGAGGAAAATATAGAACTAAGTTACCTGGAACTGTCGCATTAGCCAACTCTCTGAAAGTATCATATTCATATTGGCGGCCGGGCAGGTATGTCAGATTTGTCCCTCTTTGACTTGGTTAAAATGTGAACACTTGGGGAATTTTAACTGAGATGTACCTATATAGAAGCAGAGCAAGTCACGGTCAATTATATGGGTACATTAGTTAGATAGATGTTGAGCAAATATCATAAGTTGCCTGGAACTATCACATTAGCCAACTACGTGAAAGTAGATATTCATATTGGTGAGCTTACTGGTATGTAAGATTGCCTTCCTCTTTGTCTTGGTTGAAATTTCAACGTTCAGGGCATTTAACCTAATATATCCTTATAGAGAAGAGGAACTTGCATGATTGGTTATTTGGTCAAGTTTTACGTTTGTTGCAGTTGACTATAGTACTGACACGAGTGTTTTGAAATTATCATGATCATGCCAGTTGAAAGAGCTCTTCTGTTTGGTTATGTGGTTATGGACATGCTTGGAAGGGCTATGCTTATTTTAACATTGTGACTGGGAGTTTTCAAGTGTTTTGGCAAGTGCTTGCCTGCTTGTAGTAGCAACATTCACTAAATGTTTTTTAAGGGACATTCACTAAATGTTTAATTAATGCACCAGTTACATCATTTCCTAGTGGCCATTCTGATAATGGCGAGGAGAGTATACAAGGCTATTATCCAACAATGAGATGTTAATGAGCAACTCTTAAAACTAATGGCAGAGATTGTGATTCTTCTTGCCATTGAAAAGATCGGAATTGCTTTGGCGAAGGGGGCGGCAGGCCAAGCCACTGGGCAGTTTGCGAAGTATGGCGCACAACTACTTGAGCTAGAGGGCAGCATGGGTCGTGTTACTAGGGAGCTTCGTGTAATGCATGATGTTCTCTGTCAAATGGACATTCAGATTCACAAAGATCAAGGATATGAGGGATGGTTGGAGGAGGTACGAAAAGTAGCACATGTGATGGAGGACATGGTGGATGAGTACTTGTATCTAGTTGGTCAAGAACATGCTATAGGTTGTTGCTTTTTCCTGAAAAGAGGGTTCAAAAACCCAAGATCTTTTCTTTCTTTGAAGCGGATAGCTTTCAAGGTGAATGAAATAGAGAAAGACCTTTCACACCTGTCAGAGACAAAAAACCGATGGGTTCTCCTTATAAATAACGGGGATACTAGCAATGTGAATTACGTTGTCAAGAGGGCCCAAGATCTAGCAAGCATTTCACGCTCGCTTGATGATGAAAATCTGGTGGGGGTGGATGGCAACAGAGAAAAACTTGAGAAGTGGTTGGCGGGAGATGATCTGGAACACTCAGTGGTAGCGATGCTCGGAATGGGAGGGCTTGGTAAGACAGCTTTAGCTGCAGATGTCTACAAGAAGGTGAGAGAGAAATTCCAGTGCCATGCTTGGGTCTCCATCTCTCAAACTTATTCCAGAGAAGATGTTTTGCTAAATATATTCAAGGAACTTTTTAAAGATAATCTCAGTGTTCTATCTGGAACCATGGCTATGAACCTCACATGCCTTGAAGAGACACTGAAGAAATTTCTGAAGGAACAGAAGTATTTGATCGTATTGGATGATGTTTGGACTCCAGAAGTTGTTGATGACTTGTCTAGGGTGCTTAGTTATAATGATAAGGGCAGTAGATTGATAATCACAACAAGGGAAGGCAATGTTGCTGCACTTGCCTCTCACGGACATATCTTAACAATGAAAGAATTACCAGAAGACAAGGCATGGGATCTGTCGGTGTCAAAACCGGCGGATCTCGGGTAGGGGGTCCCGAACTGTGCGACTAGGCGGATGGTAACAGGAGACAAGGGACACGATGTTTTTACCCAGGTTCGGGCCCTCTCGATGGAGGTAAAACCCTACTCCTGCTTGATTGATATTGATAATATGGGTAGTACAAGAGTGGATCTACCACGAGATCAAGGAGGCTAAACCCTAGAAGCTAGCCTATGGTATGATTGTTGTAATGGTTGTTGTCCTACGGACTAAAACCCTCCGGTTTATATAGACACCGGAGAGGGCTAGGGTTACACAGAGTCGGTTACAATGGTAGGAGATCTACATATCCGTATTGCCAAGCTTGCCTTCCACGCCAGGAAAGTCCCATCCGGACACGGGACGAAGTCTTCAATCTTGTATCTTCATAGTCTTGGAGTCCGGCTGACGATGATAGTCCGGCTGTCCGGACACCCCCTAGTCCAGGACTCCCTCAGTAGCCCCTGAACCAGGCTTCAATGACGATGAGTCCGGCGCGCATATTGTTCGGCATTGCAAGGCGGGTTCCTCCTCCGAATAATCCATAGAAGATTGTGAACACCAGGATGGTGTCCGGCTCTGCAAAATAAATTCCACATTCCATCGTAGAGAGAATAATATGTACACAAGATCAATCTGCTGACGTATTTCGCGGCATGACGTCAAGCCACTACCAAGCCTTTACTTGAATTGTTTATTGTTATACCGCCTCAGCGCGTTTAGCGAAGCGGTTTACTTGGCACGTCTTGTCAAAGCAGAGATCGTGCTCCCCTTATCCCGGGAGTCTCATCAATATGGACGTGGGTAACCCAATCGTGCCCGTCGCCACGCCCCCTCTATCGGAGGCGAGTCCCGAACGGTCACGGGGACGGCTCTTGGTATTCCCCCCCTTTATAATGGGACCAAGGCTCGTTTCTTTTCTTCAACCCGCAATCGAATCTTCTCCTCGCCCCGAGTTCCAACACCCAGAGCCCCAGATTCGAGCGCTTCGGACCTCCAACAATGTCCGGCTCCGACCCAAAGGGACGGTGGATGCCCTCCTCCGTCACGGAAGAGGACATGCTAAAGCTGCGAGAAGCCAAGTACCTGACCTACGAGATTTCACATAGGCTGCCCGTCAAAGGGCAAGTCATTCCCTCCCCCGAGCCCGGCGAGTATGTCGTGTTTGCGTCCCACCTCCGTCGGGGCTTAGGCTTCCCGATGGATCCTTTTGTGAGAGGGCTCATGTTTTATTATGGGTTGGAATTCCACGACTTGGCTCCGGAGTCCATCCTCCATATCTCTTCATTCATTGTCGTCTGCGAAGCCTTCCTCCGCGTCACCCCTCACTTCAGCTTGTGGCTTAAGACCTTCTACGTGGAGCCGAGGATGATTGAGGGGCGTCAAGCAGAGTGCGGCGGGGCGGTTGTAAGCAGAAGGGCCGACACTCCATGGCCCGAGGGCTCTTTCCAGGAGGAGCTCGGCTTGTGGCAGCAGGAGTAGTTCTACATAACCGCTCCCAGGGGCAGCAGGCAGAAGCCGCTGCCCATCTTCCGCCCGGGCCCTCCACAGCGGCTGATGTCGTGGATCAGCCAAGGACTCAACTGGGGGCCGTCAAAGGACGTGCCCATATTGTAGGGCCGGATTCGAGACCTCCAAGCGAGGGAGATCGATCTGGTCATGGTGATGCAGGTCATGCTGATTAGGCGTCTCCTGCCCTGCAAACGCCGTCCTCTCTGGCTATGGGAGTTTAATCCGGAGGGACCACGAATTCTTCAACACTTCATGGGTATGACACCCGCGGAGATGTACAAATTGTTCTTCGGATCACAAGAGATGTGTCCGGAATTGACCGAGGATGCCGGCCTAAGCTGCAATCGCCCGGATACACAAGTAAGTAGCTCCATGTCCGGACATACCGTTTGTTCACCTTTCTATGATTCGCTTTTTGACCGACTGCCCTCTAAACAGGAGTGGATAGCGCAAGCAAAACTGATACGGTGTCCGGCCCCCCTCCCAGAGACCGCGCCGTATCCCGTGCTGGTCAGGATGCTGGAGGTTGCGCCTTCGGAGGAAGGCGAAGGGGAGAACAGGGGAACTACCGCCTCAACCAAGGAGGTTTTTGAGGAAGAGGGGGATCGAAAATCCCTCCTTCCAGGGGGAGAAGAGGACCGCCTCCGAAAACCCGGAGGCCAAAGCCCTGAAGCGGGGGAAGAGATCTTCAACAAAGGGTCCTGCGTCCGGAGAGGCTCCGGCCGCACAGTCTCCCCTAAAGAATCAGCACTCCAGCGAGCCGTAAGTAGAAAAAAGGGAGTTTCGTAATAAGGGACATCCCTATTTGTGCTTCTGAGGATAACTTAGGTTTTTACCTTGTAGTTCGGATCTCCGTCCTTCTCAGATGAGCTCGTCTTTGGGGGAACTCCGTCCGAAGATGATGGAGAGCAAGACGCCTCCATCTGCCGCACCATCGGATAGGGCGGACGAGCCTGAAGTGTCATCACGGAGGGTATCCCCGAGTCCGGCAGGGCCGAATAGTTCGGCACCAACTGGTGTGCGGCCGGGGGAGCTGAAGGATCTGCTTGAGAGGGCGTCTATCTCAGAAGGTCACCGTACACTGATGAGTACGGTGATTGGAAGAATCTCATCCGCCGAAGGCGGATTGCGTGATGCCGTCATGAGTTTGCTGGCGGGGTTTGAGGTACGTGAAAATGACATACCCTTTGACAGTTTTGCACATAAGGTGCGCCCTGTATAGATAGTAGCCCCTGAGACTCGGTAGGGTGTCGAGAACGACAGCGTGCCGAGGATCAAAATCCCAGGTATTGATTTTCGCCTTTCCTATGCAGGTGGCGGATAGTTTGGTGGCTAGCCGGACTGATGGAGTTGCCGAACTAAAGCGGCAGCTCGACGCTGCGGATGCGGACATCGCGCTGGTCAATAAACGACTTGACGAGTCGCAAGGTAGGTTTTTTCTCCGTGGTCACCTAGTAAGGGAGCCGAAGCCCACTCCTTACAACATGTGTGCTAAATGCAGATGGTGCCGCTGCTGTGGAGAGCCTTCGGGCAGAACTTGCTCAAGCCAAGGAGCAAGCCAGAAGGAGTGATGCGGCTGCCTCGAGGGTAGCCGAAGAGCTAGAAGCCGAAAGGGCTGCACACTGCCGAAGCAGGGAGGAGATGGCCGGAATGGCCGTGAAGTTAAAAGATGCTACCGACCGCAATGAGGTTCTTGAAAAGGAGCGCCTAGCGGAGCGAGAAGACCTGGGGAAGGCCACCGCCGAAGCCAAGGATGCCCGTTCTGCAATGCGGGCTATGAAGGAGGAGCTGCACCAGGCCGGAGACATTGTGGCTGGAAAGCCCTTTCTGCTGCGCCGAAGGTTTACAGATCCAAAGTATGCTCAGCTTGGCCAGCTGTGGGGTCTGGAGGATTCTTATATGGACTTGGCGGCGAGTGCGGCGGATTCTGTTGTGCACTTCCAAAGTCAGAAGGATCACGAGACGGAAGAGCTGTTTTGGTCTCAATTCCATAGTCCGGAGCGTTCCCTTCCGCTGACCAATCGGTTGGCTGAGTGGGCTGAGCTGAATAGATTGTCCGGACTTGCCATGACAGATATCGTGACTCATGTCTGGCCGGATAGGCCCAAGCCGAAGAGTTATTTTGGCTTATTGCAGCAATTTCTTGGGGCGGTGCCGCATATCAAGGCGATGAAGCGGTCGGCCTGCATAGAGGGTGCACGGATGGCCCTCGCCCGTGTGAAGACACATTGGACAGAGATGGATGCCACCACTGTTGCGACCCAGGGTTCGGACGAGAGCCGGTTACCCGCCGAGCACTATTTTGGGGAAGTTCTGCATGGTGCTCGTGTAATAGAGTCGCAGTGCTCAAAGAATGTCATGTTCAAATGAATGTTCTGGTTTGTAAAACGATGTTTATGATATAAGCGCTTTTTGGTACTTATGCGTTCAAGTAGTGAAATATCTCTTGTGCGGCCGTGTATGTATACGTATGTATAACCTGAAAGATGGCAGTCGTCGGCTTCAGCCCCCACGTACAAGGTGCGGGGGTGTTCGCAAAAATAGCGCATTTTCACACTTAATCCGACGTCTCGGTCCTGTGAAGGAGGTGGTAGCATAGCAAACGAGGCAACCGAACTATAATGCTTTATCACTTTCGCTTAGCCATAGGATTTCGAGGGTGGGGCTACGATATAGCCCCTAGGGGCACCGCGCTCTCTGAATTCGGGGCGCGTATGTGCCTGACTGGGAAACGGTCCTTCGTCAAAGCGGAGGAATTCTGAACATTCCGGTAGCCGATCGAGTGGTTGACGAGTCTCGCGCTGTATCATGACAGTCAGTTTTCGGCTTTCTCTACTGAGGTGCTCGCCCGGCCGAACCGGGGCACAATCGCAGTAGTTCTCCTGGTGCCGCGTTAGCCGATGATACGGAACGTAAGACAGCAAAACACAGGAGCCGGGCAAACCCAACATTTGACCAAAGACATGATTCGGAGCTGATGCATATAATGCCGAACTCGAGACGCCGAACACTCCCTAAGGTATTCAGTCTTTATGATAGCGGGCAGAACAATGCCCTAAGCCCCTAGTGTCCAGGTACACGCAAGGTCCTCTGACGCGGCCGATGCCAAAACGTCAGTATCCTCTCTGGTTATAATGAGAAACCAGGGGATATATAGCAACAATAGACAGTAAAAAAGGTTTACGCAGGGTCTTAATCTGAAAAGAATCCTTGCAACGGGTCCCTACTGCACGTCTGCGCATGTGTCTCCGTTGTGCTGTATCCTGGACGGGTGTAACACGCTGTTCATCTGAAAAAGAGAGGAACTTAGTTTGAAAAGTAATCGTGCAAAAATGAAAAAATCGAAATATGAATGAATGAATAAAGCTGAGCTTATATTAGCTCCTATGTGCAGCCCCTTGTAAAGGGATGTGCGGCTAGGGAGCCCCTAGCTTATTTTATGCCGGACTCGTCTAGGCGTGCCCGGGGTCTTGAACGACCTTTTAATGAGATGATGC